TTTTAACTGACTAACCCATTAACCAAGTGCTACCATTCCGTAATAGAATTCATTGATAATGCAAAAATATCGATCGAATGAGAAAAATTTATTTAATGATTTTATCTGATGATAATTACTAGACTGAAGACACCATAGAAAAGTTAATTTTACATTATAATTTATTATAACGTATTTTGAGATAATTCAACGAATATAGAATTGTATAGAACGAAATGCCTTTTGTTCGAATATCATGATCCTGAATCAATAATAATCCTTTTGTTAATAATTTAGCACTGATCAATAATCAAGAACCCGTGCGATCAGTTGCTGAGAGTAGAAATTATTTTGCTCTCAATTTCTAGTTTTTCTTAGAGTTCTTCCACTAAAGGCAGGAAATATGGGAATGTGAAGAAATTTTCAAATATTTTCGCTCGTTTTCAAAACTTCTAGTGAGTTTACCCAATTGTAAAATGCTTTGTATATTATATATATATATAATATTTTTTTTTTTAATATTTTTTTAAAGGAGCTAAACTCGAATTGATCGGCATGCAGTCAATACAAAGAAATGCTGTGCATATTTTTAACTCTAGATCTTGCTTTGTATGTTTTGACCAAATTGCGACAAGTAAAAGCGAAATACGCTCACCGTAGTCACCACCACAAGCCGTTAGTAGTGTATTTTACGAGTTGCAAGTTCGTAGAAAAAGCTGTCATACAGCTCTGCTGCTGTTGCATGAGGCGGGCAACAATTTTTGGACACTCAACTTGTTCATTTATTAGTTTAGTGTATTTATTTATGTACATATGTTCATACATAAATATATATATACATATATGTGTGTGTGTGTTTGTTTTCATTTTTCATTTCATGCTGGTTAAAAGCAATTGCACCGATCTCGCTGGTGGCCAAGTGGCAGCAGGTCACACCGGGGGGACGGACCATGTATGTGGCTGGTCGGCGCTGCTTTTTTCGCTGTTTCTCAATTGTAGTTTAGTGAAATGAATTTACGTGCTTGAATGAGTTTTATGTGATTTTCAGATTGATGGTTTTTGATATTGAGTAGAAGAAACTTTTATGAGGCTATAATTTTCATTGGCAACTTTTTCACATTTTTTTCACCACTGAATTTTCTACTTTTTCTTTTTTTTTGTTTGTTTGTTAACGATTTAAACGAATTTGATTTGAATTTTATTGGAGAAAGGGAAAGTAAGAAATGTTTTCTTGTTTTCGATTTGCAATTGCATAGCGGAAACATGCATATATGTTTGTATGTATGTATTTTTAAGGAGGAAGGAGTTTTTGATTGTTTTAATTTAACTCATTCATTTTTTGGACAAAAAAAAATTAACAAATAATATAATTAAAAATAATAAACAAAAGAAAAAAATTAAAATAAAATTAATTAATAAAATAAAACAAATTAATATATATAATAAAAAAATACAAAAATGTATAATAAAATCAAATAAAAAAATATGTTATATAAAATTAAATACAATTAAATATATAAAAGTTAAATTAAATCAAATTGAATTAAATAAACTAAGATTAAATAAAAGAAAATAAAATAAAAAAATTAAATAAAACAAAACCAAATTAAAATAAAATAATATTAAATTAATATAAAATTAATATAAAAAATAAGACAAAAAACTAATAAAGCTTCTTAAAAAAATAAGTTGAAGCATTGTAAATTAAAGAAATTTAAAAAAATAATATGAAGTAAATTAGATAAATTAAAAATTAATAAATTAAGATTAATTAAAAATACTAAAAATGATATAAATATAGATGAAAATAATTAAATTAAAATAAATAAAAGAAGGTAAAATAAAAACTAAAAAAATTTAAATATAAAAAATTAGATCAAAAAATAAATAAAACTGAATAAAAAATAAAACAAGACGAATTAAATTAATTTTAGTTGAGTTAAATAAATAAAATAAAATAATATAAGATTAAATAAATTAAAATAAATTAAAAAAAAGGGAAATGAAATAAATGAATTAAAAAGTAAAATAAAATAGAGCAAAACAAAAAAGACCAAATTAAAATAAATGAAAATATAAAATAAAATTAAATGAAATAAAATGATAACGATAAAATAAAATGAAAAAACTAATAGTAAAATAATATAAAACAAAAGAAAATAAATTAAATTTAAAAAAGTATAATGAAATAAAATAAAACAAAATAAATTAAAAACATTTATAATAAATGAAAATAAAATACAATTTAAAAAATGAAATGAAATAAAAAAATTAAATATAAAGTAAAATAAAATTAAAATAAAATTATAACGAAAATAATAAATTAAATTAAAATAAAGTAATACAATATAAGAACGAATCAAATTAAATTATATAAGATCAAATAAACTATAAAAAAATAAGATATAAATAAAAGTAAAAAAATAAAAAAAAAAAAATAAAAAAATTTAATGCTTATAATTCGCAATAAATTCCTTCATTCAAATCAGTGCATTGACCATGCATTTTTATTTGTTTTGGTTATTTTTTGTTTTTTTTTTTCACATCTCAAGTGAAATTTAAGCCAAGCCGGTTTCAGTATTATAAATTCCACAAAAACTTTAAAATAATAGTTGTGGATTTATTTTATTTTATTGGGCAATTTCAACACTTTTTTTAAGCAAGCTTAAATCTATAATTGTTGATCGTCTCGTTACTTGATCTGCAAACACGATCTTATCGAATGTCAATTGACACCTTTTCACATTATATTCACCTGAATACACACCCGAACACACTCACACATACACTTGTGATAATCAAATTGATTTTGACGTCGCGCAAAATCGGATCAAGTGGGCTTAAAAAGTTGCCTGCAAGTTGATGGTGGCGATCACCAATCAGTAGTTAGTAATCAACCACCATCATCAAGCTTGTTGCTGTGTCTGCGCGCCGTCTCTTGACGAAAGTTGCCCGCTTTAACAGTTAAAAGTCGCTATAATTTGCAGTCAAAAAAAAAAAGAATTGAAAAAAAAGTTGGCGAATTTATTTATTTATTGAAATTTTTATTTTTGTTATTTACTGTTTTTGCTATTTAAGCCGCGTTGGATTGCCGCCTAGTTGAAATGCTCTAATTGAGTGCAAATATTAAGTTATATACACACTTAAGTACATATGTGTACATATATATTTTTTTTTTGTTTGCGTATATGTATTTATTTACATAGCCACTTCACTTTTTCGCTTACTCAGGCATATCGCATGTGACCTCTTTCAGATTTTAATTTGAAGTTTAAATTTTTCCACAAAGTAGTTAGAGTTATATGCAAGTGATAACAACAGATGTATGTAGGTTTTAAACGAAAATGTGGGTGTAAATTAAAATTGCATAATAATTGTGTAGAATAGATATTTTTGATTAAAAGATTCGTACGTGTCTGCCTAAATTGCCTTATTCTAGAGACTATCTATATTAAAAGCCATTCTCATGATACATGACATACCCCTAAATTGTTTTTTTTCCTTTTTATTTATTATTACATATTTTATTGAATTTTATGTTACTCTAATAGGTGTATTTTTTTTTATATATGTGGATTATAAGAAGAAGTGGATTCAAATATTTCTTGATATTTTATCTCATGTTAATTTGGTTTTATTAAATTTTTTAATTTATTTTTATTTTTTTAATTAGTTTGTTTTTACTTACAAAATTTTTTAATTTCCTAATTAAATTAATTTTATTTTATTTGATTTCTTTTGCATTAATTTTTATAAGTATATTTAATTTAATATTATTTAATACTTTAGTTAATTAATTTTTTTCTCTTTTTTATGTATTTTTTAGTTTTTTAATTTTATTTTAATTTATTTACTTTATTTAGTTAAATTTACTTTATTTTTTCATTTTATTTTATATTATATTATTATTTTTATTTTATTTAATATAATAAAATTTTACTTGATTTTTCTATTATATTTTATTTTAATTTTATTTAATTAATTTTATTTTATTTTATTGCATTTTGGAATTAATTTTCCTTTGCGTTATTTTATTTCATTTTATTAATTAAAATGAATAATAGTTTGTTTGGGATTTAATTAAATTAATTTTATTCATATTATTTAAGTAAGTTTGTTTTTTATTTTATTTTATTTTGTTTAAATTTATTCATAAAATATAATTTTATTTATTTTGTATTTTTTTTTAACTAATTTTATTTTATTTCATTTTATTTTGTATTTAACTTTTTATTTTTATTTTTTAACTAATTTTATTTTATTTCATTTTATTTTGTATTTAACTTTTTATTTTTATTTTTTAACTAATTTTAATTGATTTTTTTATTTTATTTTATAATTTTTTTAATTTTATTTTACTTATTCTTTTATTTAATTTAATTTTAATTTATTTTATTTATTTATTGGAAAACGACAAGTCTCGAATGGGATAGGTCAAAATCTTTCCGTTAGTGTCTGAAGCAATACGAACACCGCGGCAAACTACATTAGTAAGAAACGATGGTGTCCTTTCCTCTGTCAGGGGCATACAGTCAGCTGGCTCATTTTAATTCAATAATAGTCAACGTTGAAAATTTTGGGCAGTTTGTGGAAAGGGTAGCCAAAGTTGTATTAGTAAGAGGAGTCCTGCAGCTAATGGTTTTTTATATCTCCTGTCCCGGTTCATCATGGATGGCATTTCAGGAGAGTAATCTCACTGAGAGGATACTTAGCCCTCGCAATCAGGGCCGATCGTGATCTTTAATTCAAAATTTCATTGTGACTGTATATGGACTCATTCAACTGTTAAAAATTGGATCGGGTTGTGGAGTGTGGAGAAGCTATGTCATGCATTACCAGAGCACTTCCTTCATAATTTTGCTCATGTTAATTTTTAGTCTCTTTGGGTTTTTATGTAGCACTTAATTAATAAAACAACCGAATTTCCGCTGTTCCACACCTTCAGTTACCCAAGTTCCATATCAACTTCTGCAAACATCCATTCACTCATTTCCATATAGACATTTTCATCGCCTTCTTACCTTATTCGGCGACACATGCCAGGAGCGTCTTGTACCCTGTCGTTGTTGTTGTGTTAGGAGGTGTGTCTGTTGGTTGTCACGTAGTAGACCGCCACCGAGATTGTGGGCGTTTGCATTACTGTTGGCATGATGACTACTGCTGCTGGCGCTGCTGATGGTGCCACCGCTGCTGTTTATAGACAAATGATCATAGCAAGCGGTCGAGTTACTGTTCAAGGTGATCAGACTCGGTGCCAATGAGGGACAGGGTGAGGGTGGCGGTGATAGCGAGTAGCAGCCGGAATCATAGGAGTTCAATATGCGTAACCGATTGCCGGGACAAAGGCCCTGAAATGAAAAGAAATGAAGTGAAAATTATGCAAGAAATGTTTAGTTTTCAAATTTGTTTATAACAATTAAATAAAACGTTCATATTAAAAGCTTAATAGTTAATTGTGATTTATTGCTGCTGCGTAAATAACCTCAATTGCTTTGTTCACTCACAACTGGCGGTTCATTGTTAGAAAAATTACTAACAATTAATTGATAGATTTCAAAAATTAATATGAAAAATTTAAATTAAATAAATTGCAGCAATATTGAAAAATCAGAGCATATAACCGCAACGGCAAATGGTGGGCATATAACCGTTAACCATCAGCATGCAATGAATTATGATTTTGCAATTAATTGTGCATACATACACATAAACGCCAGTATTTTGTTGCATGTGGGTACCTACATATATGAATGTATGTGTGTTGGTGTGGCCTACTTCCACAGTACTTTAATTTCGGTATTCAATTTCAGCCCTACAGGAAAATATGGTTATATGTATTATATATATAGAATAAAACAAAATAAAATAAAAGATTAAAAAATAACTTACAATAAAAAAATGATACAAAAAGGAAAGAGAAAAGAGATAATAGAATTAAATTAAATAAAATATAATGTAAAAAATAAAATAAATTAAGAAAATTAAATTAAATAAGATTAAAGAGAATATAATAAAAAAAAATAAATAGAATTATATAAAACAAAATAAAAAATTAATAAAGAAAACAATAATAAAATAAAATAAAATAAAATAAAATAAAATAAAATAAAATAAAATAAAATAAAATAAAATAAAATAAAATAAAAAAATTAAAATGAAATCAATTTTAATTAAATGAAATGAGATAAAATAATTAAATAAAGCAAAAAATAAAATAAATTGTAATGTAAAGTAAATTATTTTAAAAAATAATTAAAATGGAATAAAACAAGTAAACTATAATTGAAAACGAAAAAATTAAATTAAAATAAAAAAAAACAAAATAAAATAAATTAAATTAAATTAAAAAAAAACTATATAATATAGCATAAAATATTTTGAAATCCCTTCAGGGCTACTTGTTAATTGTACGAATATTTATTTCAGTCAATTTTTATAGCGCTACCACATTGGAAACATGTGCAAATTTATGCTGCAAATTTTGTTGTTATTTAGTTACTTGCGTCTGCCGCTGCCGCAGTGATGCTACAAATGTTGTTGATTGCTCCAAATTTGCGACAACCAAACAACAAACCGAGCTGTCAACAAATAAGTCTACAACATATGTCCCGCAAACAACGAAAATAGTGACGTACTCGTGCACATACGTATATACCTCTACATAAGCATGAATTAGCAGCACATTGTTGCCGAGGTTGGCATGTACTGGGCAATAAAATTTTACTGCCGCTCGTTTCTAGCTAATGTTGTACATATTAAAACGCTGTGTTTGTTGTTTTTGTTGCATTTGACTTTTTGGGTTAATTGTTTTCTATTAAAGTGTTATGTTGCCCCTTTTTAATTAACGTCTTCCAATTTTTATTGGCACACTCCTATTATTGTTGCTGTTGTAGTAGCTGTTGGTTTCATTTTCGTATTTGATTTGTTGTTGCCTTTCATTAATTGACAAACTGTTTTGGTGCCCAATCATTCACGCGAAACATTTACACTGATTGTTGCCGCACTGACAGGTGGTTGTGTTTTTGTTGTTTTACGTTAAGCCGCGGCAACCTGTAAAGCTGTAGAGCTGGCGCCAAAAGCTTTGTGGTTAATATGCTTGTGTAGGTACCCACATGTGTGAATGTTATGTGGTGGAGACTACGTATGTATGTGTGTTTGCTTATAAAACTGGCTTTGTGGCATGTGGCGCATTAAAACGGTGTTTAATTAAATTGTTAACAATCACATGCACTCACACATATGCACACTCGAGTACTCGCCAAAAAAATTTGCGGCGAACCGAAATCAATGCCCAAGTGTATTAAATTAAAATAAATTAACGTTTATGTCCCAAGAGCGCGTCGCGTCGATCATAAATATTGATTTAATACGAAATATTTTTGCAACAGACTTTCAAGGCTGGACGTCAATGTACTGTACATACATATATTGGAGAACTAATACATATTTCGTTAGCTAATTAATTGGAAGTGCATATCTATCATGGGAAATTGTCACAAGTCCAATTCGAGTTGAGTGAAATAAATAATTAAATATAAAAATAAACAAATAAAATAGAATTCTGATTTAACTATAATAAAAAAAGAACAGAAATTATGTAAAATTAAATTAATTTAAATTATTAAAAATGAGAAACAAAAAACTTAAAAAAATACAAATCTTTTTTAATTAAAAATGCAATTATATACAATTAATTAAATTAAATTATCATATACAAAAATAAATTAGAAATATTTTAGTTTATATAAAAAAAGCCCAGATGAAATAGAACAAAAAAAGTGAAATAAAATTTAATAGTAAAAAAAACATAAACATTTAATAAAAGATATGGTTAAAAAAATATATAAAAAAAAAAAATTAAAATAAAATAAAATACAGTAGAAATAATTAAATAATATAAAAAAAATAAAATTAAATTCAATTAAAAAAAAAAAAAAAATAAAATAAAGCAAAATGAAAAAAAAATTAAATAAAAATAAAAAAATATGCGAAAAGGTAAATAAATCAAAATCAAATAAAAAATAGTAAAATTTAAATAATATAAAGTAAAATAAAATAATAAACACAACAAATAAAAGATATACTAATTAAAAATAAATAAAACAGTTTAAAAAAAAAAAAAACAAATAATAATAATAAAATAAGGTAAAATAAAATTAAAGACAAATATAAGTAAATAAAATAAAAAATGAAGAATGAAATAATAATAAAAATAAAAATAATTAAAAGTAAAAATATAAATAATTCAAAAAAAAAATTAAAGAAGTTTTACTTTAATAAATTCTTTTCTAATAAAATAAAAAGGAAGAGAAAACACTAAAAATTAATTAAAGAAGAAGAACCAAGCAAAAAAAAAAAAGGAAAAAAATCATAAAACAAAATAAAAACTTAAAATAAATTGTTGTTTTCGTTATAAAATAAAAGTAAACCAAATTAATTTATGTAAAATAATATAAAATAAAAAAAGATAAATTAGTATAAAATAAAAATATATAAATATAGTAAAATAAAAATAGTAAGTAATAAATGACACTTGAAAATATAATTAAGACAAAATAAAATGAAATCAAATTAGTTAATGTAAAAAATATTAATTAAGAAAATAGATAACTTAGAATATAATAAAGTTGTGAAAACGAAATAAAAAATAGTACAAAAATATTATATAATAAATTAAAATAAATTAAAATAATTTAAAATTAATAAAAATTTAAACAAAAAATAAATTATATTAATAAAAATAAAAATAATATAAAGTATAATAAAATTTTATTTGAAAATTAATAAAGTAATAAAAATAAGATAATAAAATTAAAAAATAAAGTATAACATAATAAAAATAATATGATTACATAAAAAATTGAGGTAATAAAAAAAACTCAAGATCAAATGCTTAAAAAAACATAAAATAAAATAAAGTAGAATAAAATAAAGTAAATTAAATAGATTAAAAAAAATATAATATAAGAAAATAAAATAAAATAAGATAAAAGAAAAGAAAAGCAAAAATATAAAATAAAATATAAAAAAACAAATACTATAATAAAGATAAGTTTAAAATTAAGTTTAACAATGATATAAACATGAAATAAATTAAAATGAAACAAACATTATATAAAACAAAATAACATATAATATAATAAAATAAAATAAAATAAAATAAAATAAAATTGATCTAATTAAAACAAATAATCCGAAATATATAACAAACCAAAATAAAAAAAAAAATAAAATAGAGTGCAATACAATTAAATATTGATTAAGAAAGATAAAGAAATAAATATAATATCACAAAAATTTTAAATAAAAATGTAAAAAAATAAAATTAAAATAAAGCAAAATAAAATCAATAAAATGAAATAGAAATAAAATTAAAAAAATTAAAAAGATAAAATAAAATAAAAAAATAAAATAAAATAAAAAATAAAGTAAAACTTAAGAAACATAAATTAAAAAAAAATATAATATAATAAAAAATATTAAGTAAAATAAAATAAGAAACAAATAAAATAATGTCACTTTAAGCTAAACAAAGCCAAATAATATAAAACATGAAATAAAATAAATTTATATATAATTTAATTAAATAAGTTAAAATAAATTGAATTAAAATAAAACAAAAAAAAGTAGTATAATACATTAAATGGTTGCTAGTTTCTCAATCAAAGTGTCTACCAACTTGAATTAGTTAACCGAACAACTTGAAGCTTCCCTTCTTTTCAACGCGTTGAGTAAAATAAAATTTAATTAAAATGCAAAAAATAATTGAATGCGACTGTTTTTCCTTAGTGGCCCATAATCCTATTCTGCAATTACAGCAATCATGAATGAAAGCTATAAATGTTTACTTATACATATACACGAGTACATAAACAACTTTTAAGTGCTTGTCTAAAAATTCACACCACCCTACCGCCAACAACATTTTTCCGAAATCCCTTTGGGCGAAATATGTACGCCAGCAACAACGTCAACATTTCGAATTTGTGTACGAAAACCACAAAAAAGTTTTGAAATGTTCTGCAATTTGCGTGCAATTAAAATCTAAATTCCACTGCGTGACGAACAGGCGCCCAACACGTCCCTGCAACAACACAACTGCACTTCTCAACAACAAAAAAAAACACTTGCAACTAGTTGGCTGGCAGTCCGTCTGTCTGATTGCCAGCCCCATTGTTTCCACCTTATACTCCTGCTACGTCAGCTGCTTTGTAATTATCCCAGCGCTAAAAATAGCAGCAAAACTAAAATGCTGTGAAATTAAAATACCCCCCTCCTTCGCTCACCCACCCAACTGCTCCTGATGCAGCGCATACACGTAGATAGACAAGAGAGTCACAGCTGATGAAGAGATGCACACGATTGCATGGTTGCCGTTGCAGTTGCTCGGTTGTGTTGATGCGTAGATTGAGTAATTTTGCATATTTTATTAATAACAAAGCTGTCACTCTGCCAATCAGTGAAGTGAGTCCTGTGGAGTCATACATGCGGTACGTTAACAATATCTTTTTCTCTTCTTCTTCTTCTTCTTCATCTTCTTTTATTTCCACCACATTGTCTAGCCTAGAGCAGTTCACGCATTACAAATGGTTTACAGATTAAAATCTGAGCAAAGTTGTTAATTTGCTTTTTTGAAGTTTTGCTTTTCTCAAATTGCTTACCTCTCGTCCGCGCAAACTGCAGAGCCACCAACCTTCCAAGCCATCTGTATCCTGTTCTATGACTGTGAGGACATCGCCTTTTTTGAAGGCCAACTCATCAGGCGAATCGGCAAAGTTGTCGTAGATGGCTTTTGCATAAAGTTTCTGTAATTAGAGAGAAGAAAGAGGCGGAAATTAGTCTACTTTCAGGGATTTTTTATGCTTAAGTAAGTTGGCAGTTTTGGGAGATAAGATAAGAATAGATAAATAACGTATACATATTTACTTAGCGGAGACTGTGGGTTAGATAAGTCAACCCAAAGTTATGAAGCGTAGTCTCTTCAATATAGAAATTCTACACGACAGCGTTACTATCGTCACGACGCCACGACATAGCATTAGCATAACAGAGGCAAGTTTCCACGAACCCTGAGAGGTGTTTTGGAGAGAACAGCTCTGAGTTTCGAACAGTCTCGCTAAAAACCAGAGGCTTAGACGAACTGATAGCTTTTTTCAGTAGAAGATACTAAAATCCAAAAATTATTATAATATCCCGACACTAAATTTCTGTATTGTTGGAAAACTTACTCAAGAAAGTGAAAAGTACAGAAATACGAGAATATTTCTAACGGCGTATATGCCTGCAGAAGAGCTCTTGGAAAAAAGTTGTTCTTATTTTTTTAGGATCGACAGTTGGAAAGAACTAGAGAGCCATTACGACATTCCTATTTTTAGTGTAAGTATCTACACGATTGCGGCCGCGGTAGCCGAGTGTTTAGCATTGTGTACTGACAATCGGAAGGCTCGGGTTCATATCCCGGTGCCACGGATAACGGATCTTGGCCTTTTGAAGGGAGTGCATTTAAAATGAGTCAGACTTAAAACTACTATTGCTCCAACCATTTGGTGTTTTTTATGAACGCAAGTTTAGTGGGACTTATTAAAGCTGGTTAACCAATTATATCGAAATTACAATATCGGAAAACCATGTCGGCCACACAGATTGTCTATGTCCACGCAGCTAAGACAGAAATAATCATAGGGAAATCATATTCTCCTGAACTCTAACTCAGAGAGGGACCTGCAGTTGTTAAGCTGAAAAAGATAACGAAGTTTTATGGGAAAGTACAGGGTACGCCATCTATATATGGTCAATGGAGGCATTGAATAATTTTGACCGAATTCAACCAATTGCGTGCAGTAAAAGCTTCTGGAAAGATTATTCCAATACAATTTCAGGCCATGTATCGCTTTACACCCAAACAACGCGCGGAAATAGTTACAAGACACAGTAAGTCTGATCGTTAAGTTGTTGCAACACAGCGCGAGTGTCCGGTAAGGTATGCGTGAAAAAGATCTGAAAAACTTTTGGTTTCAACCATCTGGGCGCAACATGTGACACAGCGAAGTCAACGATGAAATTCTTGCGGCAAAAGTACCCCGTACGTGTGGTATCGAAAGGAAGTGGATAACGACTGGCCATCAAGATCACCCGATTTTACTGCTATCAAACTTTTTTTTTTGGGACTTTTTAAAAAAACCAAGTTTAGGCCAACAAACCGAAGACTTTGGAGGAGTTGAAGAACAACTTTCGTGCTGAAATCACTGCGAGATCGCCCGAGATGCTGGCAAATGTCATTGAAAATGCCGAAAATAGAGCGATGCTTTATTTGCGTAATGAAGGGGGCCATTTGAACGACCTGTTTTTGGAAGCTAGCTGAAAAAAAATTGTAAGGTTTTAAATTTGATAATAAAAAAAAAATTATTAAAATTCATTGAAAATTGTGCAAGTTATTCAACATTTGATTTGACCACATCTAGATGGCGCAACCTGTACATACACAAAAAAAAACTCTGTGAACATGGGTTTGAACAGGACACGAACGAATGATCCGTCACATAGTGGCATTCCCATTGCTACCCACTCGACTACAGCGGCCATCATATATCTCAAAAGAGCAAGGACTTTTTCAGAATGTCGATTGAAAATCATGCCGAATGATTGAAGTTTCAACTTCAGGATTTAGAAACATGGAGATTCAGTAGTTTTATTTGCTGTATTTTAAGCAAATGCATTCTAATACTTTTGCATACATTCGTACATACTTATGTGTACAAATATTTTTCAGTAAAAGTCCTACACAAAAGTCTGGTCCAAAACACTTTACTTGACCTTCACGAAACCGGCATACGAAATTAGATTTTGCATTTTTGTTCAAAATTTTGTTTCGTGCATTCATTATCCACTACCTTCGCTAGCACTTTCGGTGCCGAAATATTTGCACTGTGCGGTTTTTGTGACTTAATTAAAAGGCAGGTATGCGAATTTCCAAGAATCCCAAACAAGTTTTTTATTGTTCGTTTATATGAAATCTGAGCAGATAAAGCAGTTGTTGTTGCTGCAAGCGCATGATAATGCTGGCAAGCGATTAAGCCAGTCTTTTATGCTGAATACATACATATAAAAATACATATTTACATATTTATTTCTATGCAATACGCCGTTGGCACTGAAGTATGAGTCCGCAACATGCGCTGTCGTGGCGTCAACATTTACAGAATATTCTGTATGAATGAATGAGTTTGAATGAAATCCCCAGTCGTCTGAGAAACTTCTCGCCTGGCATTTCCTGTTTACGGCTCGTAAGTGTTTCGGCGATACAGTTAGAATAAATACAAAATTTTATTTATTTATTTTATTTATTTGTTTGCTGTATTTTTTCGTCGTGTGTGTCACAAACGGAGTTGAGATTTACTTCATTGATATAAATATGTATATATGGAAAGTATGTAAATTTGTATATTTTATATGTGTGAATTTTCTACGAAAGCCATAAAGCACCGCACAACCATTTTGGGGCTTGCCCTGTGACTCTTGCTATGCCTGTAGATGACTCGCGTTGATTTTTTTTTTTTTTTTTTTTGATTTTATGACTTCACGTTTAGCTATTGAAATTGGCTCTAAATATTATATATGTATACATACATACATATGTTCAGGCATATCTAGAAACTTGAATATTCTTTTCAATTTTTTTTTTAATGTTATCTTAAAATTTTTTTTAATTATTTTTTATTTAATTTTTTTTATTTTTTTATTTTCATTTTCTTATTTTTTAAATTTTTTTTCATTTTTTTTTTTAATTTTTTATTCCTTTTTTCTTACGTATTTTAATTTTTTTCTATTTTTATTCCTTTTTACTTAACCTTTTTTTAGTTTATACATTTTTATATGATTTCCTTTCCAAATACAAAGAAGAAAAACTCACATTATTTTCTTTGTTTGAAGAAAAGCGAGAAAAAATGCTTCGAAACCGCACTTGAATGCCAAGTGTCAAAGTGGCAAAAGGGCTTTTGGTAGAAAACCACTTATACATATAGTACATACATACATATGTATATATGAGTACATACATACGTACAGCACAAGGGCTCACAACTCGGTGCGTGACACCACAAAAACGCTTTCGAAACAAAAGTAAATAATTTTCAAAAAAAAAAAATGCTTTTTTTTCTTGTAACTTTTAAAATGCGGAAAATCGTTTTTAGTTTTGTTTTAAAGACCAAAAGTGTCTAAGACTAATTTGTTTAGCGTTGATTTTTGTTGTTTGAATTTTTTCTTAATTTTATTTTATTTATTTCATTTTTTACCCGCCGCTTCTATGAAGTGTGGCGTGAGAGTGACTTGTCTGAAAAGCCGCTTTTAATGCCTGTAAAGTGTCTGAATAGCAACAATGCTAATTGAATATGTCAATATGTCTATATGTCAGCCGGTTTGACCGACTTGTTCGATAGCTCATCTAACGATCTACAGTTGATCCCATGGTTGGCTGATATATTACAGTTAGTCGGTTAATTGTCTGGCATGTGTGTATGGTTCGCCTCATATTTGCTTTGCGGCGAAATTGTAAATAATATTTTGGTTTGAAAACATTGTTGATTTTGTATATGTTTATAGCGTAAAATTATTTGTTGGTTTTTAATTTGTTTATTTTACACTCGATAGTTGACGGTAAATATGTAATTTTACAATGAAATGTCTGATAAGCAAATAAATCGTTTTTTTTCCTCACTGAGTGCATAGTTTTTGAATAATTTTGAGTAAATACATTTGTTCGAATATGAGTTAAGCGTTACGAGGAACAGTGTTGTTATGTAAATGACGTGTTGTGTGCAATGATAATGGAGTTTGATGCGAAGCAATGTGACTTTTATATACCCAACTAAAGGAAACCCCGTCATTATTAATGCGAACAGCTCGGAAAATTCTCAATTGAGATAGGAAAAATATAAATTAACATGTATGTACCGTCAACTCCGTTAGATTGTTGGTATTAAGTCCACTAAGCTTCATCTAAGTTTGAATCTGCCACAAATTAGGACTTGGCGACAGTGGCTAAGAAGCAGAGAACTGTATTAAAATTTAATTGGAAATTAGCGGAAAAAATAATGGGTATTAAGACGTCCTCCGTGTAACTAGACTAAAAGTGTACATCAGAACCATTTCGTCTGCCTTATATGGGCAACGAGATTTCCAATGCTCGACTCGACAGTCGAAGAAGTGTTTCCCTAGAAACTTGTGTCGCGCGGATGTCAAGGCTGGACAGTGGCAGAGGTAGTGCACGATGGTCTCCTCCTCTTCTTCGTCCCTACAGCTGCGTCAGAAATCGTTAGAGTAAAAGCCCATTCTAATCCATTTTCTGCCGGGGATCGACCGAAATTAGAAAAATTCATTTTCTATAATTTTGAATGTTGATCGAACCACAGACCTAACAATATCTGTTAACGATCCAGTCTATTTTTGCTTGAGTTGGATGATGTGCGCAATAATCTCCTCTCAAAGCAGGCAATTGTTGCCACATTTGAATCACTATTTTTGTAGTAAATTTTAAAAATTTTAGCGCCTTTTGTAATTGGTTGTGGAACCAATTTTCATAAGTGCCCAACTTGTAACTAAAACAAAACATGTTTGGTTTGGCAGTTAAGTTTGACAGATGTCAAAATACAACGTTGGACTTTTAATTCATTCGGCAACAAGTTGTCTAAGCATTATTAGACGAGCTGTTCGCTTTTCGGAGCTTGAAACACCGTTAGTCAATACATTGCATTTAACTTCTCGTTTCAGTAAATTGAGAAAAAAACATTAAAGGTTAGTACAAATCGTT